AGAACCTTGTACCATTTAAAAAGTAGGAAAAAATAAATTAATAAATAAAATGAAAAAAAAAAACACAAAGAACACTTCCCTTTTCTTCATCTGTTTTAGTTCTCTTCCTCTCCCCACTGGCATTCACCCTTCAAAATCCATACTTTCCTCAATTTCTTCCTCCATTTCCATCAGAACCAGTCACATACCAGTTTATGCCAAATCCGCCTTTTCCAAATCCGATCTATTTGTATGTTTGTTTTTCCCGCGCAACTCCGAAACAATCCACCTCATCTGCCAACCCCTGCTTTGTAGTTTGAAGCATGGCCGCTCTTCTTCCCACAGCCTTCTATAAATAGTTTAAGCCCCTCCCCTCAGGCTCTCTTACTGCATTTCTGATTTCCTCTTATAAATCAGTTTTGTCCATATATTACCTCCACAAACAATCAGAATTGATATACAAAAACAAATAATTTTCACAACTTAATTCCTTTACACAGATTCATTGACTTATTCAAATACACCAAACTTTTAAACATAAAATCCAAAAAAATAAATAATCTGGCAAACATTTAACGAGTCACGAGTTGGTGACATCACTTCCGCATTCCAACAACTCTGGCGTTTTAACCGCTTACTGAGCTTTGCCTCGGGTTTGAACCCAGCAATGGCGCCGCCAGACTGAAGATGACCCCGTAGCACGCACACACACACACACACACACACACACACACACACACACACACACACACACACACAGTTAACCCCACTGAAATATTAAGTGTGCACCCTCAATACACCAGCAGGTAACCAGGAAGAGCTTGCGTGTTTTAAGTTAATGAACTATAGGGCTCAGCGCGAGTGCATGTGTGTGTGGCACACAAAGTTAGAGAGGTTGTTTTAAGTGACAAGGTGGATTCATCACAAGTGGACAGTCGCTGATTCTGTGTTATTGTTTTGTTGTGTTCTTTAAAGTAATCCCTCAAATCAACCTCATATATACTGACAATTGATAAGAATATTTACCTCTAAAAAGAAACCCCCAGCAGGTAAAGAAAAATTTGATGGTAGCAGAAAGTTGCAGAGTGAGGAAAAGTGGTCTTTATGTCCTCTAGCAGCGTAAGCCTATAGCAGCATAAGTGCATAGATTGTAGAGGATAGCCAGAGCCACTTTAAGCTTTATCTATTAGGGAAGTTTTAGGTCTAGTATTAAACCCACACAGGGTGCCCACCACGCAAACTAAACCCCTAAAAGAGTAGCCTAAAATCTAAAAGATTTGCTTTCAACTTTTAAAATCTCTTTGACCCACCAGTAAAATTCAGTGTGCATAGGTCACCGATATCTATTAGAAATAAATCTACAGATAGATAGTAAAGAACTATAATAGTCAAGCCTTAAAGTAACCATTTGACCTACATTTATTGTATTATAACACTGTTTCATACCTAAAAAATGATGGAAACAGTTTCAGTAAATGTAAAAAAAAATATTCAAAAAGATAAATTTTAAATATTTCTTTGTTAATGTCATGAATATGTGCATTGGTCTGTGCGCAAAGGAACATAAAATCCAGGTTTGGTTTCAAGAGGACAATTTTTGTTAGGTTGAGTGGAGGTTTGAAGAGGATTCAAATGCAGAGAGGGAAGCTGGGGCAGTTTCTTGCAGGTTTGAAAACAAAAAGGTGACAACTGATGCAAAAATTTAAAAATAACAAAATACAGAAAACCAAAATCCAGGAGACATCAGGGAAAACACACATGAGGAGATAGGAAACGACGAGGAACCAGCACTGAGGAACTGCACAGGGAGAGTATATATGGGAGACAGAACAAAGACTGGACTAATGAGCTGATAAGGAACAGGTGTTGATGGAAGCATGTAGAAGGGAGCTAGAGAAAGAAGACGGACACAAAGGGGCAACACAGGGTCAACAAGAAATACATAAGAACTCAAAAGAAATAACCAACAACAACTAGAATAACACAAAATGGAAATGAAACCAATAAACTAGAAAACACAGAAATACATTAATCAAAGTGTAACTGAAATGTCAAAAAGAAAAATTAAACAGAACCAAAAAGTGCAGAATCATGACTCTTTCATACTAACAGAAAAACTTATTTTTTAGGGTTGTAATTGTATTGTATGAGAATGAATTGATGTCATTTATTCCAGTTTAAATCATAACAGCTCAAAAGAAGAAAAAACATAAAGTTATTCTCTCCCTCGGTTTAAAATTAACTGCACAGTTTTTAGTAAAGTTATAGTGTCCTTTAGGTTGTTGTTTTGGATTTAATAAGTTTGTCTGGTTGCCTCGAAATCTTGCCCCATACTTTCATGCCATATTCATCTTTATAACTCCTGAGTTTTGCATTAACAATTACAAAGCATGTATTTTGTGTGCAGACATGCTTTATAATTGAGCCCCCTTGACAATTTAAGGCTATTGTTTAAAAGGTTCTTCTGTTTTTGGGAACATTTTGCATATGTTGGCTCACCCAGCAGATGTTCTCAATTTGGAAATTAACTTTCTTTTACTCATGGTCAGGTTGTTTAAAAAAAAAAATAAAAAAAAAACACCATTCCCATGCCTTTGGGCTTAAAGTAACCATGTTGATCTCTTAATCCTTTACCTCCCCAACTGAAAATTTCAGTTTTGGCTTTATTGCAGGCAGGTTAAAAAACAATATTCTGGGATAACAACAGAAAAAATATTACAGACTATTTTTTTAACACCTGGTTTTATGTAATGACATGTTGTGAAATTTCCTTATTAAAGTCCAAAACATTTCAATTTTTTCTACATTTTCTGCAGCAGATCTGCTGTTAAGCATCAAACTGCTCAGCTAAAAGTAGGAGATTTTAAGTGTCTGTCTCAAACTAGTTATACATTCAGTAAAGATCTAAATCATCATTTATAGAGTGAGGCATTTTATTTCAGCATTTTGTCTTAAACCTTTTATTATTCAGGCATTAATGACAACGCATAAAAAACAACAACATGCATCTTGTTTAAAAGCTGACCTACCTTTGTCATCTTCGAGGTGAAGGTGTTGGGATGTGGTGAGGTGAAGTGAATCTGAGCTTCAGGTTGCCTTTTATAGCCTACAGGTTAAAAACACAAAAATGTAGGTGTCTGTCTCAACTTGGATAGAGTCTATTTGTCTCATTTATAACCTGATTTTTTTTTCTCTATAGTACGATGATTTCTTCAAAACAAAAAAAAAAGGTAATCAAAGTCACACCGTACAAAGAATGGATTTCCTGAAAAGCTAAATAGAATACGTATTTGGTTCACCTCTGGGAAAGCCAGTGCCGTTAAGACATATCTCTACTGCTGCTCTGAAACTAATTCATAGTTTTACTCCACAGAAATACATTGAAAAGCTATAGATCCTATTTCTAACATTAGTCCTCACCTTGGTTTGTCTCAAGCAGACGGAATGAGCATCGGTTGTTGACTGGTCGTCTCAAGACTCAGACTGACAAGATTATTACTGTCAGTTGGATAGTGAGACAATAGCAGCAACCCAGAGGTGTCAGGTAACAAAGTACAAATACTTCCTTACCTTGCATTAAGTAGAAATGTTGGCTATTTGGCTTGGATTCATGCTTTTTAGACAAATTTTTACTTCTAATTTTTTTTTTTTTTTGCAATTATCTCTACTTTCTACTCCTTACATTTTGAAAATACGCTCATTAGTTTTGTTTTATTTAAGCTCATTTTCATTTTGGCCTGTTGGTATTAAAAAGAAAACATCAAAATTTTATCCAGATAATTAATTTCTTTGTAGTTGGACTCGTTACAGACATTAATTTTTACAAGATGATTCAAAGTTAAATTTGACACTGTTACCATTAATTGGAAAACTAAGAAAATTAAGTATAAGGAAGTTATCGTCCACAATTGTAGAAAATGTTCCTTTAATAGGATAGGGCAGTAACCAGTTTAAGATTTAACGCATCTGTCCTTTTGTCCTGCGTTACTTTTAATTTTACACTTTGAGTAGTTTTAAAAATGGTACATCTGTGTTAGGAATCCAGTTTGTGTGGGTTGTGTTTCTGTGTCTTTCTTTCCCTCCACCACCAGGTGGCGCCCTGTCTTCGTTGGTCCTCTCACACACCTGCGGCTGGTTGATTAATTACTGAGGACTATTAGAGCCATGGACTGTCACTACCTCGGCGCCAGAGTGTTTGCCAGTTTTGGGTACTCTAGCCAAGCTGAGTTTAGCTGAGTCTAACTGAGTCTCTTTGTTTCACTGAGCCTAACCTTGTTTTTGTCTTTGCCTTTTCGGCAGGAAGTCATCCTGCAAGCTGGATGTTTGGCCTTCTTTCCCTAGAAGGATTTTTTGAGTCTCACACTGAGCAGGGGATTAATCTCCACAAGTTCCGTTCAAGTCCTCCTGGATTTCCAAGTGACAGTCCTCTCAATAGCTCCTCAGTGTCCAACCAAGTCTAAACCTGTCCGCCCTCCAACGAGTTTCTACCTCTGGATAAACCCACACCAACTGGATTCTGGGAGGCAAGTTTTCTCCACTAACGCGAGTCCCGTTTTCTCTGTCCTCCAAGTCATTGTTCAAAGTTCCCATGGATCCTGAACTAACCACTGATACTTCCCTTCCCTCTTCCAGTTCCAGTTCACCAGCACACTGAGTTTCCTGAATCCAACCCCCGCTGTCCTTATCAATAAAACTTTTACCCTGGTTCTCTGAGTGGTTTTCTGCATGTGGGTCAGATCCCTTAAGAAATCATGACACTCAGCACTTTTACTTGAGTAAAAAGCTTAAGTTGTTACTCTAACTTCTGCAAAAGCTTTTTTTTATTAAATGAAAGGATTTATATTTGAGTAATAAACATTAATACTGTTGACACCTCTGCCACCTAATCAACCACAATGCTTTTTTTATGAACCAACACCTGCACGCAAAACACCCACACTCCAGGTTTGTTGCACACACAGCAGGGTTCAAGCTAAAGCTTGAATTACAATTCTCAGGTTCCTGTGTTTATCTAAGGGTAACTGAGGAAAGTTTTAATTACATCCCTGAGGCATATCTCCATTCTCCTATTATGAAATACACAAATAAAACAAACTAGGTTTTTCTCATCTATTGCGGCTTGACTGGGTCACAGGCCTCTTAGTGTAATGATCTTAGAATGTAGGACCCAGAATTCAACGCAAGACAGGCAGCGGGAAAGTTCAAAGCGTTTATTAAACACTAACAGGTGCGCGGGGCTGCTCGTGTGCTGCGGGGCGGATCTCTGCAGGGATAGGAGAATACAGGTCAGTGACTGGATGTGGAGCTGAATGCGACTTGGAGCTAAGTCACTGACCTGATTCAAAGCTCTGTCCGTTCGCGGAGAACTCAGCAGAATCCAGAAGGGAGGTTTGAGCGCAGTTGCGGCGGCCACGCCCCCAGAGTTCCTAGAGAGCGAGCAGCCGACGCAGAGAAGCAACAGAGTCCAGAAGGGAATTCCAAGGCCGAAGTCAGAAGACAGTTCCAGGTTCAGAAGCCGGTAAAATCCAGGATCAGATGCGACAAACAGAGCAGACAGGGGGAAGGCAAAACTCGAGATCCACAGGACAGAAAACTGGTCATAATCAGGGAAACAGACAGACTAAAGAAAGCTACGAAACGTCTCACCAAAACACACGAATAACCTGGCGCTGATGGGAGGCAAACACACAACTTAAATAGTAGAGGAACCAGGTGGAAATGATCAGCGATAATCAGCCGCAGAACCAATTAGACAGGGGAGCAAGGAGCAAAGGAAAAAACAAAACCATTAGCGCCAAGATCATGACACTTAGATATTGGTCTACCCCTCAATATGGTTGCTTCCAAATAGTGCAAATCAGTGAGGCCCTTAACCAGTTAAAAAATGTCACTAAAACAGTGATCGTAATCTTGTTTTGTTGTAGCAGGAGTTAAATATTTAATTTTGGAAATAAAAGTCATGCAATTCCAGTTTCTTGCCTGACTAGAAGCTTGGAGTATCATTATCATAACATTAACTTTATCATAACATTAACTTTTGTATGCTGGTAAAGATTCTCAGTCATCCAGGTCATAGTCATTCCAAAATATTAAAAAAAACAATTCACAATTTAAAAAAAAATCCCCCCAAAAAACCAATCCAATTTTGAAGACGTTTCGCTTCGCATCCAGGAAGCTTTTTCAATGCAAAATGTCAGAGTTAGCGTTTGGTTTGGTCCACTGTATAAAACTTCATACTCAACACTATTTCTGACATTTCATACCTATTAACTAGTAACACTATGATTGCTTTGCTTGCCATGTTTGTTTCATTGTCAAAGTTAACCAGTTAAAAATGAAACTCTGTTATATATATTTTTTTATTTAAACAGGAGTTTAATATCTATTTTTTGAACCAAAGTGATATAACTCTGGTTTGTCAACTGTTAAACCTATTGCAGTGAGAAATTATTCGAAGCTTGTGGGGTAAGGGTCTATCCAAATAGTGGATCTGTGTTTACCATGGCAAGTGCTGTTTGAATATTGTTAGCAGTAAGGAAGGAGGTAGAAAGAGGAAGCAGGATGCAATGGGCTCTATGCACAACTTCCCTAGTTCCTGAAACTAAGGCATCTGTTTTGTTTCTTTCATTACTGGTTGAACTGATTACCCCATGTGTGTCCGGCCATGTTTACTAAGATCAGGCACACCTGGATTAATCTTCATCCGGTATAAAAAGAGTCTCCTTAAGTACATGATGTAGTGGAATTGTGCATAGAGCCTATTAACTGTTCATTTGGCACAGGGACCTGCCAACATAGAAACTATAACCAAAAAAAGGCTTGGTTATGAAATTCTTCCCTCGTCATGAGTTCTGTTTAGTTCCTTCCTGACTGCCATTGGTAGGGCGTGTCGAGATTAAACAAAGTCATGCAGTCAAACTGAGTTCATCTGTGCGTGCATTTATAAATAGCATGTAGAAGGCTATGTTCGGTCTATTTTGATCTTAATAATTACATTTTTTTTTATCTCACATAGGAGAATTTACCTCTGCATTTAACCCATCCCCTTGGGGAGCAGTGGGCTGCCATTGTGTGGCGCTTTGGAAGCAGTGTGGGGTTAAGTGTATTGTTCAGGAACACAGATTGGAGACTGAGGGGATCGAATTTGATACACTGTAATGATAGATACACATCATTGCACCTGAGACACCAGGGTTGGGAAAGGCGCAGCTGCGGGCCAAAGGTGAGTAGCATTGCTACTGCATAGCTAAATTTATTCTTCAGTCCTCGTTGAAGTCTCTCTTAGGTTAATCAGTCGCCGCGTTTCCCCTTTGATGGTAGTTTAGTGTGATGGTGGGGTGGTGGTGAAGATCACTTGGAGACTCTAACCCAACAGTTGCAAGTATGCAGTACTGCAGCACAATGTAGCACCAAGCATGGGCAGCAGCAGCTTAAACCCAGGGCTGCCAACTCTCACCCATTGGGTGTGAGACTCATGCATCTTAGTGTCTTCACACGCTCACACTCCATATGCCCAATTTTTCATGCTAAAAAATGATGGACATTAAAACTCAACTCCATTCCACTTATTTATATGTAAAAATACCATGGTGATAAAAATCCAGTCCACGTTTTCAACACAACCTTAGTGCTAACACATTATGGCTCTGTTCGAATTCATGGGCTGCATCCTCCAAAGATGTGGTCTACATATACCCCGTTTACACTACCCTTAAAAAACTGTGCCGAGACC